GGTGTCACAGAGTATGTTCTGGCCGATATCTCTGATCAAGCCGTAGCTTTAGCTAGCAAAGCAGAGGAAAAGGGAGATCAAAGGTGGGATGAAATGAAAAGCTCTCAGTAAAATTAATTTTTTATTTTTTGACTTCTGGTTTTTTATGATTATCTTTATCATTACTGTTCTTGAAAAATGATTGCAGTGAATTGCTGGTAATACATGTTTCATCGTGGGACAACGAATCTAGGCGCTGGACAGCTAAGCTACCGACAAAGGAAAGCGCTTTGGATGTTTTGGTAGGAAACGATTTTCATCATATTGATACTAAACTGACGCATTTGCAGGTATCACAAGAGCTGGTATTTCTAGTCACCGAAAAACGTAATATACGGGTTTTTAGCCTTACTGGTACTCAGCGCCATATTATTACTCATCCAAGTGAGCCACTATTTCATTCATTGTGCTTTTTTTAAGGCTAATGGTATGGTTTTAGGTCCCATACTAACGACCGCATGTTTTGGAAGTAATATTGCTGTTTGTTCCATCTCTGGAGGTGATTACTACGAGAAAGGAAAACATTACGAGAAGCCGAATTTTCAGGTACTTGAAGCGTTTTTTGACGGATTCTAAAGAGTTCAAAGAGATTTACAGAAATGTTCCAGCATTTCGTTACCATATATAACGTAGACGGTAGGCAGTGGTACCGTAAGAAAAACACAGTAACCTCTGTAGATGTTCCTGTAGCTAAGAGGGAGCATCTGGTATGGTTGGCTTTTACGAATTATGGCCAACTTGTATCTATGGACAGTTCATGTGAGTTTTTTTTTTGGTTTGTATAAGTTCGAACCACGCCAAGCACAAACTTTTTGAGATACTATACGTCTCCTGTCACCCGCAGGATTTTGGCTTCCTATATTCGATGGCAGCCATGAGGTTGCTGGCAAATCAGATGCTATTTGGCCAATAGCTGTGACAGAAGGGCGCCAAAGGCAGATTAGGTACATAGATGCAGCAGTTTTCTTCGCTCCAATTTTGGATCATTTTTGCATACTTTTATTGATTTTTTTGAAATCTTTTTAGATATTTGTATTGCAAGGGAAGCAAGTACCCACTGATAGCTGTCAAAATGGCTCCTCTTATCACAACATGGGCACTACCGTACTGTGCTCCGGTAAGTATTGAGTTGTTGAAGTTTGTTTCATTTAAGGGAGAAAATCTCCATAACTTTCTCACAAGAAATTAAGAATGTCAGAAGATTATTCCTTGACTCAAGATCTGTGAAATGTTATGGATTTTCTATATGTACAA